ATCTGTCTATCATCTATCTATCTATGAAATAGTCTCTCACTCAAACTAGAGCTTACTGATTCAGCTAGCCTGTGGGTCTTGGAAATCTGTTTATCTCGTTTTCCCAGTATTAGGGTTTTAGCTGCATACCATCATAGGTGGCTTTTATGTGGGTGCTGTGGATCTGAAGTCAGGTCTTCATACTTGTACAACTAGTGTTCTGCCCACCGAGTCATTCCTCCATCTCCAGCAGGAAGGTTTTCTGTTGTGGCTGAAGGTGGGCAAGGCAGGGTTGCTGGTACCTGTGACAGTGACAGCAACACCTTGGTCTGTTGATGTGGTGGTCTGTGGTCTCCAGAGGGGAGGCCAGGCTCAGTGCAATTGACCACACAGTCACAGGGTGCTGCTGGAGGCACTGGAGCAGAGCGATGGCTGATCTCCAGGTTTTACTGAGGTTTCGATGTCTCATTCACTTGGTGCTTTCAAAGGAAAGGCACAGGCTGAACACCCTGAACCCTGAAATCAAAACCCAAAAGGCTCAAGAAATGTACACCGACATGGTGGCACAAACAGAAAGGTCCACGCCTGGCCTCATGTGACAGAGGCCCATTAAAAAGATGGTACGAAATGCGCCTTAGGCCACAGGTGTGGAGCACACAGGAAATATAAATGAGGTTACCGTTCAGTTTGGGTTCCATCCTAAAGCCAACTCGGAGACAAGAGTGCCAAAATCCAGAAAGTTAAGGTTCTAAAACACTGTGTGTGAACATGTGCTTGTATGTATGTGTGTATGTATGTATGAATGTGTATCTGCGTACATTTGTATGCATGTGTATGTGTGAATGTGTATTTCTGAGTACATGTGTGTATATATGCGCTTTTATGAGCATCTTACTCCCTGGGGACAGAATCTCTCTCTGAACCTGGAGCTAGGCTGGTAGACAGAAAGCCCCAGAGATTCTCCTGGCTCTGCCTTTCAGTTTTTGGGTTACAGGCACATGTAGTCATGCCCAGCTTGGATGCTGGGGATTTGAACTCAAATCCTCATGCATGCAAAACAAGTGCTCCTAGCTGCTGAGCCATCTCTCAAGCTCTCTGAAATATTTCTGACCCAAGAACTTTGACCAAGAGATACACAATTGCAGTCAGGAACTTTGGTCCAACTGACTTTCCAAAAGGACACTAAGGGGCTTCCCAGTCTGGGGAACGCAGGCTCCAGAATTGTGCCTGTACCTTTCCTTGCATTTAACATTCTCAGAGTTCAGGGAGTTGAGCCTCAGATGGTTGTGAATTCCACAGTGCCTCTTTCTGGGGAAATTCCCCAGGAGGACTCCTAATTTCAGGGAGCCCCTGATCCTTCTGCCACTGCCTGAGTGTGGGACTGCAGGTCTGCACCACCATGTCAATTTACGTGGTGCTGAGACTCAACCCCAGGGCTTCCTGCCTAGCCAGCCCTGATGATAGATCCCTGGGCAGTTCCCACAGCTCATTGACCCCTGGATCCAGGCTGCTTCCTCTCTTTCTGGAGAACAGCCATGCTCAGTCATTTACTGTTCCACTTGGATGGAAATTTAAATGCCTGGTGTGGCCAGAAACGTCTCTGAAGGAAAAAAAAATCAAGTTTATTTTCTAATTCGGCACATGTGTGTGTGTACATGTATGTATGTGTTTGTGTATGTATGTTTGCACACACACATGGAGGCCAGCGGTCAATTTCTGGTGACATTCCTTAGGATACTGTCCACCTCATTCCAAAGTATCTAACTAACCTGGAACTTGCTGATTTGGCTGGGCAGACTGAGCAGCAAGCCCCAGGGCTCCGCCTGTCTTCACATCTCCAGGGCTGGGACTACAAGTGGGTGCCACACGTGCGCTTTTTACATGGGTTCTGCAGATTAAGCTCTGGTCCTCATGTGTGCCTGGCATGCATGCCAATCACTTATCTCTAACCAAGAACTGGGGTTTCAAGCATGTGCTACCACTCCTGCCTTCTTTAAAAGTGGATTCTGAGGTCTGGAGCCAGGTTCTCACACATGTATAGCAAGCACCTTGTAAACTCAGTGCTCATTTCCCTAGGCCCCATCCACTTCTTGAACATACCTTTGCAAGTGAGTGTGTTGGTACCATGGAACGTGGCTTTAAGCCACATCTCCCCCAAATCACTACCACCTGTCACACAAGAAAAGTTTATTGAAAAATAAAGTTCTCCCTAGTTTCTCTACAGCACAGGAAAACAAAGTAGTGTCCTTTTTGCCTTGTACAGTAAATGTGGGGACAGCGACACCTCATTTGCAGGGTCCCGTGACTTAACGCTAGAAGTGACAGTAGAAAACAAGTGAACCAGGATCCATTTGAAGACACAGACATGAACGGCCTTGAGCTTAACATCAAGGTTGTGGCAGGAACTACAGTGGAAGGGATGTCACCATGTCCTTTGGCATCGTGGTTACACTGTTCTCTTTAACACATGGGCTGAGCTCTGATCCCCGTATCTTCTGTGTTCCAGCTTCCATTGGAGCTGCCGACTGTGTTCACATGCCTGGCCGGCTATCACGCAATGCTCCCTGTGTACCTCCTACCGACGCTGGCTTCCACAGGCAACTACTTCTCACACCAGCATGTGTTCCAGCTGTGGCGGGTGGAGAGTGTGTGTGTGTCGGGGGGGGGGGCCGGGGGGGGATTAAGTGCCACAAAATCTGGGGAAGAATGAAGCTCTGAGAAAGGTAAATCCGACACTTTCATCCCTTGAACTGTAAAGTCAGTGATAAGCTGAGAAGCAAGAGGAATTGAAAAAGCAAACTGGACTCCAGAAAATTCACCTCTCCATTCCACATGGGCAACTCGCTCACAGTTCTACAGGGTAGAGGCTAAAGCCACACAAAATAAACAGCAAACTGGGATTTAAGTGACCATGGGGTCCAGTTTAGAAAGAAATCAAAATCCCTGCAGTAGGGTCTCATATGGTTCCTCTGGGGTTAGTAGTGGTAGATTTTTGTTTATTTGTTTAGGTACCAGTCGTGGGATTAATTTTAGATAGGATGGGAATGTGGCAGAGGTAACCAGCCTGCTGGGAGCCACCCTGTCCAGCAGGGGGCAGCAAAGGGATTTCCTGGGGACTGTACATTGAGCTGTTCCCTCTTTCCCTTAAACAAATTGAAGATTTTATTATTGCATTATAGCGGAGTAAAAATTAAACTCTAATTCAAGGAGTGCAACTTGTGAGAGAACTTTTAATTTTGAGCTCAAAAAGTTCCTCAAAGAAACCCCTGAAATGTTCCAGAACATTTTGGTGGTTCGACTTCAGGTAATAAATTCAGCCTTGTTTCATGGAGTGCTGAAGACTGACAAAGTTTCCAATTACTCAGTGCATTCGAGAAAACACTAGAATTCCAGCGAGCAGGGTAGGTAGGCACAGAGCTTAGACATTTGAAACAATTAATTCCTATAGCATCTGATCGACACAACAGGATTTCTATGTAACCATCACGTCTGAATCAACAGATAGGGGTGAGCACAGCTCTTTATGTCTCAGGTTTTATGATATGCTACTAATATCAATAGTGAACATTCACCAGGCTTACTATGAGCCAGGCACTGTGCTAAACATGGAATCCCCACAGGGTCCTAAGTGCTAGGACAGCTAGAGTAATTCTTATTTTCTGTATCCAAGACTATACAGCTAATTTGGTCTTTTGCTATATGTAAAAACAAAACAAAACAAAACAAAACAAAACCCAAACTGAGAAACTTTTCACTTTCTGTTGAAGGCAACACGGATGGGAGGAACCCATCCCCAGCTCCAGGCTGCTAGCTTCCTGAAGGACTATAAACCTATTCCTGACATCCATCTACTCTAACGGAGACACACTGTGCAGCCATACAGATGGAAGGGAAGAGAATAAAGAGAAATTAAAATAGTTTTAAATAAATAAAACATTCCAGGCTTGGAATCATGACACATACAGCATAGCCTGTCGTTAACAAAATACTTGGTCTTTCCTTTTCAGTCAAGATTTTGGGAGAGGGTGGCGGTGCCTAATTACATACAATCTAGGTAAACCACCCTGGTCTGATCTAAAGAACACACACTCACCCATAGACAACACATAGTTTCAGTGCAACCCAACTCACTAATAGGAACCGCAGCTTCACGTCGGCATTCATGTGCTAAGGACACGGAAGGGCAAGTAGAGATCTCGCCTCCGCCATGCTAACTAGCTGAAGTATTTGGTGGCTCCTCCTTCTACAGAGATGGCTTGAGGGCTGGTTTTCCACCTCAGCAACATGTCAGCTAGGGCCAGGGTGATGGGGACATGAGGCCCTTCACTACCTTGGTCATCATCAGATTCAGAGATGGGGTTTGATCCTGGGGCACTAAAGGATTCTTGGCACCCTCAGCCCTGTTCTGGGAGTGCATGTGCATACACCACACACTGGGAACATAAACAAAACGCACATGTATACATGGATACACACTATATATACAGTCTCTTGTGCTCGCATACACTGGGGACATAAGTAGCCATGTGTGTGCACACACACTGTGGACAAATGAAGTTATTCCAGGCTGGAACAATTTGTGATTAGCCTTCGGTAGCACCCAGCCTTCAAAATCCAACCTCAAAGAGAAATGAAAAGACATGTACCAGCAAAAGGACAGACAAGTATTTCCAAACACTCACTTAAAACAAACGATTCATCTCAGAGACGGAATCAACCTCTATACGGTGCTTCCATTTGTACAAGAACACACACAGAAATGCACGCGGCGTGCGTGGGCTGGGATCCAACAAGACATGGCCTTTCTAAGGAGTTCTTGCTCTGAAAAAGCTTCCACCTCTGAAGCAGTGTATTCTCTCTCTCAATAAATTAGATAAAGCTTTCCCTCTATTTTAAGAGCCTAACTCACAAAAGGGAAAATAACTCTAAAGTTCAGGTGATCTGTGATTATCGTGCAGAACACACGAGTTCCTGATTTCAGATTCCTCTCCTGGTGGAAGGTTCAGTTACACACAGTCCTCAGTTCCTACAAGACCACCAATGCTTTGTAACTGCTGTGGGCTCCCAATCAGTCCCACACCTGACAGGAAGAATGCCCATACACCGGTTAGGTCGGTTTCCCCTGGATGGCCACTTGCCCATCCATATCTTGCTAACTCTAAGGCCTGGGAGCTGGTGTACCTTCAGGAACATCTCACCTATTGCTAATATTCTTAATAACTAGACTACGGTTGGTTAGTCCCAAGAACAGGAACCCACCAGAGGAAGTGAGCTTACTTATTTCTGCCTAAAACAGGGAGAGGAATTTATGACATGGGAGAAAGAACTCATCTGGGTTGTGTAACTCGGGGTCTTGGACTGGAGAAGAGGAATAGGAACGTGGAGGGACGCTGAGCCCAGGGTCGGGAGGCTTCTGCAGGTAGAGACAAAGTTGCCTTCCTGCCTGTTTACAGTTATCAGCAGCATGGGGATTATTTTCATCTGGGCGCCCCCTGCTGGTTGAATGTCAGCACTGTCACCCACTGCCTTTAGTACTCCCGGAGAGCCTGATTTTCAGGTCTGGAAACTCAGGCAAATTCCCACAACTCTGGGGTACAGCCCTAAGGCCCACTCTACAGGAAGAGTCCTTCCCGAGAGACTGCACAGCTTTCTCCTATCCTGCCGCAGGAAACCTTTGCAAAGCTTAATAAAGATAGGTAGGCTTTTGAACTTCTGCCTGCCTGGAGGCTAAACCTAGGCAGAGGTGATTCCAGCCAGGCCTTGAGGGACCCCTGTCAGTGCTTAGGGCCAGTACCTGCCCTGACATCACCTCTTGATGCCACTTCATTCTCTAGGACTAGAATCTCAGGCTCCTGAGGTGTCTGTCTTAGGGCCAAAAGGGGCGTGGTCGGGAGGCGCTAGAGGTGTGATTGGTGTGATGTATGCACCTAGGTAGAAATCAAGAGGAGAGCAGGTGATTTTCCAGACCTAAAAGTTTCATGCGCCATCTCCCCACCCCTTGGTCACCACAAGCAGATCCTTTCTGTTGCTTCTGGAGGCTCATCTAGTCACGGGCCTTGCTCTGCTGTTCGGCTAGGCAGAGGCTCCACCTGGCCACAGGGAGGCGCTGGGCAGCACCAGCCAACCAGGAAGTCTACTCTACCAGCTGGGGCCAGGTGGACAATGCTAACAGCAAGAGGTAGAAGAGGACTGGTTCATTCGCCAGCATGGAGAGAAGTGTGGGAGGTGTCTCCAGAAACTCACATGTGTACAGAGCACAGAAGCAGTACTTCAGCAGGAATGGACTCACAAAAGGGCTTCAAGGGTATGAAAAGTGGGGATTCCAGCATCTAGACTAGGCCAACCTGCTGCTAGGCCCTCAGGACAGATCAAACGCCACAGAACAATAGTGCTTCAAGTAAAAGCCAGCCCCAGGCTCCAACCCTTTGTAAGCCACACCTACTGGGGGTACAGCCAGGAGAATCTCTAGCGTCCATCCTGAACTGTCCTTACCTCCCCAGAGACCATCAAGTTCGTGCAGTCAACTCCTTGGACTGCAGCAATATCAGACATCAACGGGGGCGTGGCACAAATCCTTGTGCTACTAACTCTAGGACTGACATTCATCTCCAAATCTTAGCTGTTTTGAGGCTAGAGATGCCCTCTCCAAGTTCAAGGACAGCTCCTGGAGCCTTTGATGGGGAGGGTGGGGGGCAGAGTTGAGTTTACCGCAGCATGAAACAAGAATTACATAATCCTGTGTTTCTTCAACAAAGGTGAATTCTAACCAGAAATTAGGGACAAGCTATGTGTGGGGGGGGGAGCAGGGGAAGGAGAGGAAGGAGGAAGAGGAGGAAGAAGAGGAGGAGGAAGAGGAGGAGGAGGAAGAGGAGGAGACACACAGGAAAGCACCCTCTCTCATCTGCAGCCCAGCCTGTCTTTGGACCTTGGTGGGGCCCTCAGAACACCACAGGCATGTCCCCACCAAGGTCATCTGGTTTTCAGCTGCCATCTGCCAAATACACATAGGATTCGATGGCTCTGACAATGCTTTGACAGTGGCTGGCTGTGTTTTCAAGGCCATTACCCCCATTTTCTGAGACTGGGTCTCTTGTAGCCTAGACTTGGGGACAAAGGACTTGACTTTGTTACATAGCCAAGGAGAATGTTTGGTCCTCCTGCCTCTGCTTCTTCCCTGGTTTTGTGTGGTGCTGGGGACAGAACCCAGGAACCCAGGAGCCCAGGAGCCCAGGAACCCAGGAACCCAGGAACCCACACACGGCCGGTGGGCATTTTACAAACTGAGCTACATCCCTCCACTTAAAGCCATCTTTTTTCTCTGCTGTCACTTGTCACCAGGAGTCATGCTCCCACAGCTGCCCTCAAGTATGCCACAAGCCCCTCTGCATCCTGCCTGATGCTGCAGAACAAGAAGGTCCTGAAGGTGGGTGATTAACAGTGAGGAACAGAAAAACTGTTCAACCCCTTTCCTCCCTCCCGAGCCCGCCCCCATCCTCCCAAATAAATAAATTAATTGGTTTAGGATTGTCCCCAAAGTCCTTCCCAATTGGCTCAATCCCTCTTCCTGTTTTGTTTTCAGTTGAATGAGTCTCCAGACTTTTATCCCTTCTTTTTAAAAAAAAAAAAAAATCCCAGGAGCAGCTGCATTTCCCTACAGTCGATCCTCCGGAGAGATCCTCCGGAGAGAGAGGAGTTTCTTCTCCGGAGAGAAACCCAGGCCCCTGCTCTGACCTCTGCTCTCTTGTGGTTCTGGTGTAAACTGGGATGAGCTGGCTGCGGCTGGAGCAGTACTAAATCCAAGCCCTGGACCAAAGATCTCAGGCTCTGGTCAGAGTCCCTGAACGTCTCTGGGCCCCCTGGCCCTGCCCCGTGGAGTCACATCTTTCCCATCTGAATGAATTCAGGACCGCTCTGCTATAGGCAGTCTTTGCAGAGGGCCACTTGGCCTTTGATGAAGTCCCGGCAGGGGCAGATCCGCTGGTGTGTGGGGTGAGCCCCGGCACAACTGAAGAGCAGGAGATCCCCTTGGAACACACAGTGCTTGCTCTTGGGGTAGAAGGAGGGCACCAGGATGTCCTTGTACAGTTCTGAGCTTTGGCAGGTCACCTTATACCTAAGAGGAAGAGAAAGGTACTTGCGTGAGGTCCTGTCCAACTGCTGGATTACCTGCTCTGAGCATGGGAGCATATCCCTACTTCAGAGATGACATCATCCATGTGACTCTGATATTCTCCGCATCTAGGGATCTCGACTATGCAAAGAAAGAGCATGATGCCAAGTGTGTGCAGGCAGGGGACTGGCTCTGAGGCTCGGCTCTTTGGGGAAGAGTTATCTGCAATGAAGAGAAGCTGAGAACTAGCCTGCATACTCAAGTGGAGAATGAGCTCTCTGAGCTTTGAGACTCTGTGCAGCTGAAAAACAACAGAGAAGAAATGTGTACCCCACCGTGAGAGCTGCTGGAGGAAGCGGGGCATAAGCAGGGAGATGGTGTGTGTGGAAGCCAAAACAGGGGCTGTGGGGCTGGTTCAGCCAGCTTGCCATGCAAGCTCCAAGACCAGAGTTCTAGCTCCAGACGTCGTGTCAAACAAAGAAAGCCACTTGGATGGCATGCACGTGTGACCCCAGTGCTGGGGACCTGGAGATAAGCAGATCCCTGGGACTTGATGGCTAGCTAGCCTAGCCCACTTGGAGAGTCTCAGGAAAACTGAAGACCCTGTCCCCCAAAGTCAGCCTTCATATACACATGCACATTAGTGCACTTACACACACACACACACACACACACACACACACACACACACACATACACACACCCCACAGCGCTACACACAGATGTACAAGTGATGGTCACTTCCAAGAACCAAGATCAGCAGAGTGACTGTTACTAACACATATTTAGATGTGTATGCAGTACTTAGCTGGGAATAGAGGCTCACATTTACAATCCTAGTCAAGTTCAGTGTCCAGCCTGGCTACATGGGACGTTCTAGGCCAGCCTGTGGTACAGAGTGAGATGCCATCCCAAACAAAGCAAAGCAAACCAACCAGTGAAGAGGAGGTGGTATGATGGTTCCTGCTGGTTGGATCAGCATTTTGGAAGCAGTGGTAGGAGGGTCACAAGTTCATGGTTAGCATCAGCTAACTTAGTCAGTTCAAGGCCAGCCTGGGCTACAGGAGATCTGTCTTAAATGGGAAGACAAGGCAGAGAAGAAAGGGAGAGAGGAGAAAGATAAAGATGATAATAAAGAGAAGAGGAAGAAGGGAAAAGAGAATGAAGAACAGAAGCAGAAAAGGGAAGTATCTATGTTTTAAAGACTTTTGTCCCCACAGATACTGGCCTTTTTGCTTGTTCAGTTCGTGTGTGTGTGTGTGTGTGTGTGTGTGTGTGTGTGTGCATGTCCACATATATGTGAAATCCAGGAGTCAGGACCCTCAGAAAGCTGCCCAGCCTGTTCTTTTGAGATAGGTTTGCCACTGGCCAAAGCTTGCCCACGTGGCTAGGCTGGCTGGCTGGGGAGCACTTGGGGTATTCCTGGCTCTGCCTCCCAGCACTGGGATTGCATTCTCAGGCTGCCATGCCCAGCTATGACACCTGGGATCTGGAGATCAAGCTCAGCTCCTCGAGTAAATGGTAAGCACAGATGAGAGACCCACTAAGCTCTCTCTCCAGCCTCCCCCCCCCCCTTTTTGGGCAGGGTTTCACATAGCCCAGGCTGGCCTCAAACTTGGAAAAGATAACCTTGAGTTCCTGATTCCGCTGCTTCTGCCTCCTCAGTGCTGGGATTGCAGTGTGTTTGACAAGCCTAGCTGGTACTAGGTTCTTACCTCACAGAATTTTAGATCTTCTCTTGTGGGCTGTACTAGCCCCCTCCAATTAGTACCCATTCTATCTGCCCAGAACAAGAAAGGCCCATGGGCTAGTGGAAACCAACTGCTCCAAGAACATAGTATAGAGGGTGCCAGGCAGAACTCTGTTTAAGTCTGGGCTTTGTCTCATAGGAGCTGTGTGACTCTGGACAATCGCTGGACGTCTCTGTTGTACAACAGGAATATATAAACCTACCTGTATGGCTCAGTGTTACTGGGGCAGGCTGTGGGGCTTGCTTTTCTGGGTTCAGCCTGTCAGTCTTGAGCCTACTTCACTGCCTGAGGGGCCGATCTCCTCTTCCTACCCCGCAACGCATGTGTGCCACTGTCCCCATCCCAGTGTCACTTAGTGACATGGTTCATCAATTGTCACTTAGGAGACAAGCCTTGGGCATGTGTGTGGAAGGAAGACCCAGACTAAACATGTAATGCTCCACTCCATGTCTCCTGTTCTGTGTGGAATAAAAAGGAAACAGCCAGCTCCCTGCTCCCTGTCCCTCTGCCTCCCTCTCTCTCTGCTCCCAGACTCTGAGTGCAGTGTAAGCATCCACCTCGTGCTCTGGTAGCCATGCTCATCCTCCAGTGAGGACTGCACCTCCAAAACGAGTGCCACCACACACCCTTCTGTGAGATGCCTTTGTCAGGTACGCTGCCACAGCAAAGAAGCAATTTAATGTACTCGAGAATATTCTTGTTCTGCAGATGAAAAAACGGCACTAACAGGTAACGGGCCCCAGGCCCACGTAATACAGGGTGTGGCAGCGGATGCCTCTAATCCCAGCCTCCTGCTTTGAGACAGGAGGCAGATGCAGGGAGGTCCCTGGAAGCTCACAGGCTAGCAGTGGAGAGAACCAAGAGGCTGTTCAGACAAGATGGAAGGTGAGGAACAACGGCAGCTGCACTTTCGTCACTGTACATGTATGTCACTGTACATGCGAACCAACACTCACATAAAGACATACATGTACACATACATCATATACACAGACATCACACACAAACATCACAGAAGCCCACGTCGCACACACATCATATGTGTGCATGTCTGAGAGGTGAGCTCTTTCTGGGGCGCAGCCTGCTGACCCTTCCCACACTGTTTCCTGAAGTCCACAGCTGGGAAGAGTGAATCTGGGCACCACTCAACCCACGTCTAAGATAGGCAGCAGCAACCAAACAGCCCTGCCCTCTCCCCGCCCCCAGCTCCACAACACACTTACTTCAGCAGGTCCTTTTCCTTGTTGAGGTGTTGGAAGAAGGACGGCTCGCAGATGAGCTGGTTCTCCTGGCACACCTGTTTGCAGGACTGCCCGGGCTCAGCCAGCTTCACTTGCATGGCGCTAAGGGGTGGCCACATCACTTGGCCATGGCAGAAGTCCTAGAACAACAGTGAAGCCATCATCAGCTAGAGGATTAAGGACACAATGAAGCAGCATCAGCCGAGCAACCAACCACAGAAGGCACTGTGCCGAGGAAGACTGACAAGAAGGACACATTCTTCGGACAGGCTGTGACCTCTCTAAACACCAGTTTCCGCCTGAGGACTTGCCTCAGTTGGAAGGGTGTTTTTCCAGTGAGCATGAAGCTCTGGGTTCTATCTCCTGCACTGGATCCAGGTATGGAGACTCCCAGCACTTGGGAGGCACAGGATCATCTTTAGTTACAAAATGAGTTTGAGGCCAGCCTGGGCTAGAGGCTCTATGTCAAAACAGCCACATACATGTTTGTGTGTACACATGTACACACACTGGTGCACGTGTACACACACACACACCTTCATTCCCCATGAGGACCATCTTCAGGCTCATTCCCACCAACTCTGACCCCTGCTCTTAGATTCTTCAAACACTATATGTAGTAGTTCATGCCTGAACTAATCCATGGGCAGCATAGTCTTGTGGGTCTGGATGCTGTTGCTAAGGGCAACAGCATGACTGTGCAGACTCACTTTCTTGAATGGAACTGCAGTCTGTACTAATAGGCACTGTTCTCTGTGTGTAGAGAGCTTGCATATGACAGCTACCCATCCATCAGGATAGCTGTCATAGATAGAACTAACAGTTGAGAGACACACAGGCATTTGGAAAAGCTTATAGTGTCGTTTTGGTGGTTAATGCAAGCACCCTTACTTAAGGCCTCAGGAGCAAATGGGTACCTTCCACAGCCATTACACACTGTAATGAAGACAGTTTTTAATTCATCATACATGAAGGCGAGGCGGCAGGAGAGGTGTATCAATGATCATACTTTTCTCCTTGCTGTGACAAAATAGCTGACGGAGGCAACTTAAGGGAGGACGGGTTTGTTTTGGCTCAGCCTGATGGTCCCGTCATCGTGGTGGGCAGGGCAGCTGACTGCCTTGTGCTCGTGGTGACACAAAGTATGGAGTAAAGAATGCTTGTGCTCAGCTTGCTTTCTCCCTCTCATCCAGTTCACGGTCTAGTGCCACAGACATTCAGAATGGTTCTTCCCTCAACACCCTCACCAACACACCCAGAGGGGTGTCTCCATGGTGACTGTAGGTCATGATTAGAGTAACCATCACAACAGGCAATCCACAAGGACACCTATGGTCAGGCTGCAAAGGAACCAGAAGGCAAGTGGGAATTCCTCTCCCTCTTGGATTTGCTGAGGTCGATCCTGGTGCTGTAGGTAGACCTTTAATATCTCGAGAGGCCCATGTGTTGAGAGCTTTGTCCCCAGTGAGGCATTCTGGGAGGTGTTGGGACCTTTGGGAGGTAGGGGCTTAGAGCTTGAGGAGCTTGCCTTTGAGGGGGTGTAGGAGACCCTTCCCATTTCTTCCTAGCCATGTTGGGTTTTTGTTTGTTATTGTTGTTTAGATGTGTGTGTGTGTATGTATGTATGTGTGTGTGTGTGTGTGTGTGTGTGTGTGTATACACACCTGTGGGATTCCGAAGAGGGTGCTAGGTTCACTGGAGTTGTAGTTAGTTGAAATCAGTTATAAGCTGTCTGGTGTGGGTTTTGGGAACTGAACTTGGATCCTCTGCAAGAACAGCAAGTGCTCTTAACCACCAGGTCTTCTCTGAGTCCTCTAACTGAGAAGTTTTGCTTTGAACCATGCTCAGCCATGATGCAGGGCTTCACCACAAACCCACAGCAGTGGGGCCCAGTCATGGATAGAGACCTTAACCTGAGCTGAAAGCAAGCATCCCTGTTCTAAGTTTGTTATCTTGGGTATGTGCTGCGGCTGCAGAGAGCTGACCAGCATATTACATCAGGCTGGGGAGACAGAAAGCTCAGAAGGCTCAAAGTTCAGATTCTTTTACAACTTCTGGCTCCTCTGACAGTCCCTAGTTGTATCTCTGTACTTTGTGAGTTTCAGAACAACCACAAAGTTTCCTTTCTCATTCATTCTTACCCTTCTAGAAAGTTAAATTTGAAGTTAGAAAAACAGAGGGGGCATATCTGCAGGCTGACCCCGTGAACACCGGCCCCATCTCATCTGGCTCCCTGCACAGTGGTGCCACCGCAGAATGAAGGAAGGAACTCAGCAGACAGATGGCACTCACTGACTTCCTTTAGGTTCCTTGGGAGAGTTGCTTCCCCTACAGCTGCTTTCGGACAAGGCATGGGGGGGCACTGGAGAAGCTGGGGGGGGGGCGGCTGGAGAAGCTGGCTTCCTGGATGGATGGTTGCCCTGCCATCTACTCTGGAACAGAGCAGGAGTCACTGCAAGTTTCAGACAGAGGGCATTGTCCTTAGGGTTGTAAGTGGAGCTGAAGTGACAGCAGCTGTCTTCCCCAGGTCCCTCAAATACACATGCCTAGCTCAAGTCTGCACTGAATGGAAAGGGTGCATAGGTACCCTGTCCTTGCCCATCACAATGGCCTGGCATCCTCTCAGATATCTATTCTAGGGGCCAAAAGGTTCAGGAACAGTAAAAATAGCATCAAAGTCTTAAAGCTTACAGAATCATCCAGACAGCTTGAAGCTAACAACTGATCAGAGGGAGCCCAAGTTGTCACAGAAAGCATGGCAGGGGGGCTGGTCCCCAGCAGGGGACTTCATGGATGCCTCACAAGCTCCCTCCACCTGACCCATATAGGAAATGGGGACAGTGCCACCTGCCCTTCATTCCTGGGTAGTTCTGAGAGGTGACTGGTAAGGACAGCGAGGCTACGAGTGCTGTGTGCTGCAGTGGAGTTGAGTCACTGGATCATACCTACAGCACCTATGACAGCACCTAATGGCTGAGCGCCTTGGAGCGCACAATGTAACGGAAGGGCTGGGCATGAGCCTCCTCTCCCCCGCAGGCGCAGTGGCCAGCGGGTGATAAGGAGGCTACAGGGACATCTTCACTTTCCTTCCCCCATGGTCCAGGCTACAGGCAATGCAAGCACCTCACGGTCTCGTGCTGACTGCTCCTTCACTTATTCATTTACCCATTCATTCATTCCAAAGGCCCTTGCTAAGAGATAGGAAAGTGTGTGTCCATTGACAACTTTACAAACGACCATTACAGCCTCATGCAGGGCATCAGAAATGGGAACATGAAGGGCTGTACCTGGACTTAGAGGTTTAGCGTACAGTCTAGTAGTGAAAGTTGGCACTTCCAATACTTCAGAACAGCAAACTAGACACCTATGCACATGGTGAAGGACATCTGGAAGCTGAACAAGGCTGGCTCTACAGGGAGGGGGCAGAGTGGCGGCAGCTGTGACCAGAGAAGGCTCCCAGAAGACACGGATTTCTGGGATGAGTTCTATAGGCTGCACAGGAGTTAGCGGCTTACTGCTACCACGGCATTCTGTAGCTAATTGGTACTCAGTAAAGAGCTACTGAATGGGACTGCATGATTTCGGCATCCTGGAGGCTTTGATAGGAGTAAAGTAGAAAAAGAGGGTATTCCAGCCCAATGAGGCGTCTCTGCAGCCAGAAGGAGGAATAAACAGCCATTGCCAATCTGGTTAACAAGCTCACTTGGGCCCGCACCACCTGCTTCCCTCCCTCACCTCTTTCTGCCATCGGTGCACATGTTTCTCAGTGTGTTTGGCTATTCCAAAATTGTCACACAATGACTACAAATCAAGAATGTACCAACAGAGTTGTCAGTCAAAGCAATGCTCTCTCTGTCTCTGCGCCTCCTCCAACCTCAGCTCCCTATGTGTATACATGTATGTGAAGGGCCGAGGCCAATGTCTGCTGCTTTGCATGTGACCAAACAACTCTTACTAACCACATTACGGGGCTGGATTGAGCTGGTTCAAAGCCTGTCAAGCATACATATTCTAGCACTGCATGGTGGTACACACCTGCAATCCCAGCATCTGTGAAAACACAGGAGGGCCAGGAGTTCAAGGTCATTCTTGTCTACATAGCGAGTTCAAGGCCAACCTGGGATACATGAGACTCTGTCAAACCAAACAACCATGTGACTTACTGACCACCCTGTATTTAGATGAAAAATTTTAAAGATGTAGTTTTATTTTGTGTACACTTAGTTGTATGTGTGGGGGCACATGTGCCACAGGACTTATGAGGCCTGAGGACAACTTGTGGGAGTTTGTCCTCTCCTTCTCGAGTTGGGTCTTGGGGGTCACACTAGGTTGTCAGGCTTGGCAGCAGGAGTCTTTACCAAATGAGCCATTGCTCTGGCCATATCCTGTAGAGTTAGAATATCTTTATAAGAAGCAAAAAGAGACCTATTTCTCTGTCTAGCCACTTGCTTTCTTCTGGGGGCAAATCTGCAAGTTTCCCTAAAACAGGGAATTGGCGTGACTGACCTGCTGCTGGTGCTGGGGATTTTTACTTTGGTTCAAACTCCCCATCAGCTGGAGTCAGTCCTCCTTCAGAGAGCTCATTTCGAACACAGTAAGCCACAGCACTGGCTTCAGTGCACCCTGGCAGGGCACTGAGGGAGAAGGGCAAGCAGCCAGCTTCCTCCCATGGGGAGAAGGCCTGCACCCCAGCCAGCTGGGTCTCAGGGAAGCTCCCAGCAGTGACTCTTAAACTGTAACCCGAAGCCTGGGGTGATCTTAAAGGCTGTCAGTTTAGCTTCCTTTGGTTCCTGCTGCTGCTGCTGCTGCTGTTGCTGTGTGTGTGTGTGTGTGTGTGTGTGTGTGTGTGTGTGTGTGTGTGTGCGCGCGCAATCTTGAAAGAGATCTGGGATAAAAGTGCCCATGTTCCATGCAGCCCACATGGAGGACTCTGGAAGCTGAGCCCTGACTAATGAGAGCTTTTGCTCCAGGTGTGGGGATGGTCTCCTCCAAGGCTCAGGCTTCCCAGTCCTGCCAGGGGCATCCTCAGTCTGCCCTCGATGTTTTTTGAAGATTGTAAACTGTAAAAATATAATGAATGCTCCAAGCACTAGGATCCAGGGCCTGCAGCTACTAGGAGACCTGATCTGAGCCAGCCAAAGGGATCTTGGATCCCATCATGCATGGAGGGGACATTGGCTTTGATACAGTTCCTGAGATAAACCAAAAATAACCCCCATTCTTGCTAATTTATAAGGAATTCGGAGGATGTCTATAAGAAATGCCCAGAGATGGTTCACTTGGTGAAGTACATGCCTTGCAAGCATATGGATCTGAGTTTGATCACCAGAACCCACCTGAAAAAGCACTTGCAATCCTAGCACTGGAGGAGTAAGCTATGGGGCACATGCATCTGTGATCCTGGCAGATGCACAGAGCTGAGGTGACTTTACACCAAACCTGCAACCAGTCCTGGCTCCACCACTGTGTGTCCCACAACCGTGTGTCTCGGTTCCCACTCTGCAGTTACTCCTGATACATCCTGGGCCTTACCGTGTAGACTGAGATAGTATACAGACCCCTCAGCCCATGATGGGACTGTTAATATTGTCAACTTGGCAGGATCTAGACTCACCTAGAAGACAAAGCTCTGGACGTGTCTGTGAGAGAGCTTCTCGCCTGGGCAAAGCAAAATGAAACCGTCTACCCTAAGTGAGCATGGCCATTCCATGGGGTCTGAATAGAAAGGAGGAGCTGAGCACCAGCCCTCACCTCGCTCTGCCTCCTGACTGCGGAGGGACCATGACTAGATGCTTCATGCTTCTGCTGCTGTGCCTACCCACTCCACTGTGACAAACCACACCCTTGCATGGTGGGACAGAGTGACCCCTTCCTCTGTGTTATGTGTTATGTGCTGTGTTAGCAGCACATCCTACATCTGTGCAGGCTGAAAAGAGCAGCAGTGGATGCCTGCAACTATGCACAGTACCAAACCTGCCCACATGGGCCTAGCCTCCTGGGGTGTGTACACAATTATGATGAAGCTTAAGTAGACATGGCAGGAGGTTACTAACTAAAGCTAAAGCACACCATTAGAATAGTCCCCTGCAATAAACACGAAGAGAATAGTTTCTTCCTCTTGCAAGCACATTTCCTGGTACTGAACTGATATTTTCCACTGAGTACTCTGGGGTCTTGGTTGATATGGGAAACCAAACCCTTGGAAAGGGAACCCATGGATGGTTGGATGGTATTCTGCATGCACACACTAGTAAGGACTGTGCCAGAGTTATGAAGGTATTGTCCTTTCTGTGTCCTGTTTAGACTGAATGAGATAATGGCAAATGCTGAGCTCCCAATGTAATTATATTACAATGTACCTCAGGAGAGCATGGTGCATCAACAGTGCTGACTATTCTGCTCCTCCTAAGAACGAGGTCAGGTCTTGTTCTCAGGACTTTCTGGGTACTTTTCATACAATGCTCACAGGAGCACGGAGAAGGGAACTCCATCATCTTATTTACTAAGAATCAGAGAGCAAGAGTAAGAAATGCTCAAATTCACGGTCCCGGGAGCTGGACCCCTGTGGCTGGGCTGTAGAGCTGACTCAGTTGCTAAGGTGTAAGCTGGGTAAACATGAGGACCCGAGTTCAAGGGAAAGGCCGGACATGGTGCTAAGTGCTTGTCATTCCAGCACTGCATTATGGACACAGGCAGGTCCCTGGGGCTCATGGGACATCCAGCCTAGCCCACATGGTGAGTTACAGGCCAGTGAGAGACCCTATCTCAAAGAAAAGGATGACAGCAGCTAAGGAATGACGCTGAGGTAGTCCCTTGTCCCTATGTACGTGTACATGTGCCACTTCCACTTGTACATACAAGTATGCATCCACACTCAGATGCACACTTAAAAACATGTACATGTGCACTTGCACACACACATGCATTTCAACTCCCTCATTTCTTGTTACCTGCCTCGTTCCCCCAACAGCCCAGTTGATCAGACATGGTTACCCCAAAGCTCAGGCCCTAGAGCCCCAGCTTCTGGGAACCACCAGCTTCCTTTGACATGCCCGTGGGCTGCTAGATTTGTTTCTCCCGTATGGTTTCTATTTTCAGCTCTGCAGCTCTTATCCCCATTGTGCAGAGTCCTTGATCACCCTTAAATATTCTGGTCTTGCCCTATAAAGAGAACCCTGTATTTTTGGGCTGGCCAAGTTCGGATTTCCCTACCCACAGGGTTTCTGGCTTTGTCTATTTCTGAGTCTGTGTTCCTTTTGAAGCCCAAGGAATTAAGACATCCTAAAGGACCACAGTGATGGTCGTCCTCTTCACCTCTGAGAGCATATGCCTGGGTTTCACAAGTTTCATCTGAAAGGGGGCCCAGTTTGAAAGTCACTCAAGAGTCCTAATGCGTTTAGAGCTGCTGAATTTATGGCCTTAAAGAAACCCATTGAAAATGTAGATTTGATTCCTGCATTTATGTGTGTGTGTGTGTGTGTGTGTGTGTGTGTGTGTGTATTCATGGGTATGTGGATGAATGAACATGATGTGCAAGTGGAGGCCATTTCCCAGGCTCTGCCCACCTTGCTTTTTGAGATAGTCTCTCATTGGCCTGGAGCTTACCAACTAGGATAGGACAGTGAATCCCAGGGGTTTCCCCATCTCTAGCACTGAGATGACAAGTGTGTATTTCCATACCTGGCTTTTTAAATGTGGTTTCTAAGACTCAAGCTGAGATCCCCACACTTGCAAGGCAAGCAATTCACTGACTGGAGATATCTTTCCATCTTTCCAGACCCTAACCTTTGCGTTTTTTTGGGGTGTGGGGTGTGGTGTGAGTAATGAAGGCAGGACCTAGAGCCACTGTCTGCTCACCCTTCCTGGGTCCTCAAGATGCTTTGGTCTGCTCAGGGTACAAGCCAGTGCTCAGGGAGGGCCTCTCTCACCACTCAGATGTCAGTGTCCATATGACCTTCTGTTGCCCCAAAGGGCACACTCCAAGGGAAGACTGAGTCCCGTGGGTGACCATGACAGTGCGACATTTAAAATTGACAAGCTGTCATAGAGCCACATGAAGTTTTCCAAAGCAGGCAACTAACCACAGAAGTGCATCAAGTGAGGAGGGCTGGAAAGCAGAAAGTGGGACCCAGCAGACACACACACACACACACACACACACACACACACACACACACACCCCTTGGACAGGCCTTACCTGTTTTTCAATGAAAGCATTGATTCTCTGCAGCATGCCTTCACACGTGAACTCATATGGCATATACGGCTCAATCTGCAGAAACAACAGGGCACCATGAAAGGGGACATGGGACACAAGTGAGGCCCTTACTGGTCCTCCACTGACTCACACTCAGCAGGCATTAAAACTACAGACCTGGAACTGGACAGACCGGGCTCAGGCCTCATTGTGCTCCTCTCTAGACCCTGAACAACCTCCCTTCCCCAAGTCTCAGATACCTGATGTGTAAAAGAGTTGCAAAAAGAAAAGCTCATCTCTGTTAACCTGTGGTGAAGGTACATGGGAAACTGCTTGGATAGTGTAAAGTACATAGTAGGTCTTCAAAAAGGTGAATATTCTCGCTTGCTAGCAGGTAGGCCATATGGGCTAAAGACTATGGCCGTGAATCACCAGGATCCCAGGGCTAGGCAGAGTGCAGGGATTTAACAAACATCAGATGAATGAAGACATGATCACTTCTCTGCGGGAAGCAGGGAGAACCGGCTGGTCTGTAGTAGTGGGTGAGGTAAGAATGTATCCAAAGAACTCATGCTACAAACCAAAGGGATGAAGTGCCAAGACCAAGGAGCTCAGCTAGAAGCCTTGGGAGGGCTGAACTTTTTTTCTCTGAGACAATGTCTTATATAGTCTTATAATGTCTTATAAAGCTGGTAGCCTTGCTATACAGGTGAGAGTAACCTTGAACTTCTGATCCTCCTGCCGCCACCTCCTGGGTGCTAGAATCAGACATGTGCTACTACATCTGACTTCTTTGGTACTGGGGATGGAATCTAGGACTTGTGCATGCTAGACAAATCTTCTTCCAGCTGAGGATCAGCCTTAGCCTAGAGGAGGAGCTATGACATGAACATACCAGGGGACTGGAGGGACTGGAGCTCAGGACTGGGAGCTGGAGAGAGAAAGTACAGTGGGGTTCGTGGCTTCTCAAAAGCCTTGTGATTTCTATACAAGAGCTTTCGCTATCAGGGAAGGGGGAATGGGAAACCCCAGAAGGCCATATGGGATGAAGGAGGCATTCTGACAGCTGCTGAGACATCTGAGGGAAGGTTAAGACAGAGGGCACTGGGCTCTGCTACATGGCATCAGCTGGCACTCTGACACGTGTCTTTGGCATTTCATAACAGGAAGTTGGGATCACATGTCAGAGGAAGTCACCAGCAGACCATCTATATGGAGCCCTATGGCATTGTTGGTGACGGGACAGAGGACTACCATTAGTACTTCCTTCTTGAGCCTGAACTTATGGACCTCACAGCACACTTACACTGACAGGAAATAACCAGAAGAAGGTGCTCGAGAGGAGAAGTGTAGGGAGGCTGTGCCTCAGAGTTTCCATAGCAGGCCTGGGTAAACTAAACTCCCACAGGATGGCAGACTTCCCACGGAGGCAGGGGTTGGGAGGGGCAGCTCAATCTATGGTGGACATAGACATCCCCTGTCTTCCCAGAATGACTTGGAAGGTGCCCTGTATACAAAAGGCACCTAATCAATGCTTTTCAAATTGATCAGAAAAGTCTAGAATAGTTACCTTTACAAGATTCTACCTCATGTTTAGGTAGAAAAAGAAACCATACGCTGTAGAAAACTACAAGACTGGGGGAATGACCAAGCCCAGCTCTGTAGCCTCAAGTGTCCCATGGGATGGGGCATGTCTGCAATCCTGCTGCTGGAGGTGGGGACAGGTGGATCCCTAGAGCCTGGCCAGCCTGCCAGGCCAAATCAGTGTGCTTTAGATTTAGTGAAAAATACAAGTCTCAAGAAAAACACCATGGAGAGCAATAGAGAAGCCACAGGCATGTGAATTTTATGTGTAACACATCCAAGTTCACAGGAACATGTAAACACATGTGCACATGCACACACACACACACACACACACACACACAAAACAGAAAACCCCTACTTTATAACCTTTACCCTTTTGGTAAAGGTAGGATAAGCTACCACTTTTTACAGATCTCTCCAAGGAAAGGATTAGATCATGTATGCATGTATGACTCCAGCCACTCTCTTCATGCCTGAGACCCATGAGCCTAGAAGCCCTGTCTGCAGGATCTGAGACCCAAGCCCACATCTGCCACCAGCTGTTTTGTATCTCCCAGAGCCTCCTTGAAATCCTCAGGCCAGATGCTATCGCTAGCCTATGGTCTGCTCTGTTTACTGACAGCAAGGGACTGCAATGTTCCCCATGTGTTCCAGGGCACAGGTCAAATGCAGGCAGACAGACAAAAAAAAAAAAAGCAGCAACCTTCTGGTTTAAGATGGCTTTTACTGCATCTTCTACTTCCTCTCGGTTATTGAGATCCACGGTCCAGACATGTGGCCGGCCAATGAAGACTTCTGCGTAAGGGTGCTGGGATGTCAGCTGCAAGACAGAAGACATGTTGCATCTTAGCTTCACACATGTATGACTGCTCAGATGAGGCTGTGGGCTAGAGAAAGCATTCTGTCTTTACGAGTCAAGTTGAACTTAAATGGGAGATGAAGCATTCTTGTCCTCCCTGTAGCAAACAAAACCTTCTAATAGGCAGTTAGAAAAAAAAAATAGAGTGATGTTGAACTTTTGAAGCCCATTTGGAAATAAAACAGTGTCATAAAAAAGAGGCTCAGACAGCTGTTCCTAGGTGAACTCAGGGCAGCTGTACAGGAAGCAGGCGCTCTATCACTGGGCAGGGCCTGTAGCCTTCCGTGGTGGTTAATATGGATTGTCAGACTGACAGGATCTAACCTTTGGGCATCTCTGTGGGAGTTTCTAGATTTTGTCAGTTGTGGTGGGAAGCCCCACCCAAATGTGAACAGCACCATCCTATGGGCCATGTAGTGAACTGTATAAAAAGGAGAGAGCAAGCTGACACCAGCATCCATCTCTCTCTGCTTCCTGACTGGCTGCCATGTGACCATCTGCCTCACGGCAGGTGCCAATAACTTCCCTTCCAGGACAGACTTGTATCCCTGAAGTTTGAGCCAAACTAACTTCTCCTTCTTTAAGCTGCCTTTTGTCTGTTACTGTGTCACAACAGTGAGAAACTAGTTAGTCTAACCTTACAGTGTCTTGGGCACTTGAGGACTTAGTCTCAGCCAAAAATCACCTCCATAAATTTAGTATCTATTCTCTGGGCTACGATAGACAGGTATGTACAGAAAAATCACAATAAAGATCAAAGCTGTGAGCCAGGCATGGTGGTACATGCCTGTGGTTTCTTTATTTGGCAGGCACACATAGGAAATCACAAATTCCAGGCAAGCCTGGAACTACACTACTAAACCTAGGGTTTTTTTTTCTTTTTTGTTGTTGTTGTTGTTTTGATTTTTTTTTTTAAGGCTGGAACATCACCCAGGAATGAACAATAGTGCATATGGGAGTGACTATGGTAGGGAAATTCATGACATCAGAAGAAATTTCAAATGGTTTCAGAAATAAGTACAGCAATACCAGAACCTGAAAATTATTGTTTTTTAAAAGTTATGTATATGTATGTATCTATACATGTATACATACAGCTGTAGGCAGTTGCCTACAGAAATGAGAAAAGGTCATAGATCCCCTGGAGCTGTGATTACAGGCAGTTGGTTATGAACTGCCTGCCATGGGTGATGGGAACCAAACCCATGTTTGAGCAGAATGCGGTCTTAACCACTGAGCCCTCTCTCCAGCCACAGAACATAAAATTTATAAGGACACTTTAGAATCAGAAAAGCAAGGAGTGAGTCTCCCTCCTAAAGGTTTTCTTCTGAGATGAGATGGCTCTGTAGGGACTGATGACCTGGGTCTAATCCCCACATGCTAGAAGGAGAGGACCAACTCCCCAAGATCTTCTCCAGCCTTCACAGAGCACTGTGGCACATGCAAACCCCCTTCTCAAAGAGTAAATATGAAAAAAATGCAGATAAAGGAGGCTGAGGAGACCGAGGAGGCACCTACCATAGAGTGCCTGACCCACAGACACTGAGGCCCAGGGTCCATTCCAGCACTGTATAAAACCAGGATGGTGGTGTGTGCCTGTAATCCCAGCACTCAGGAGGCAACAGCAGGAAGATCAGATAAGATGTAGATAAGTCATCCTTATTTACAGTGTCTTTGAAGCCAGCCTGGCCTATATAAGGCCTTACATTGAAAAACATAAAAGAAGGTCAGCCAAAGAAAGCAAGTGTGTATCTTGGCTACTCTGGGCTTGTCGGAAGTCCACACTTGTGGTTTCTTCTCACACCGCTTCATGGCAATGGTGTAAACAGGAACCTTTAACATATTTGTGGAAACATTTTAGGTGAGGACCAAGGACTACATCAGGCCAGTTGTGCACAGGGAAGACTTGTCATTTCCCAAGGAACTTTTATTGATTGATTGATTGATTTTGATTTTGAACATTAGGGCCCTGAATATATTAAGTATGGTCTTTACCACTCACTATATCACCAGCCCAGATAGTTTTTAAATGCCTTCCTGGGATTTTGTGTGGACTCATGGAATAGAGCTCTTTGAGACCATTTGAGAGTGCACACTGAGCTGTCCAGAGGTGTACTTACTGTGCACCATATAGATCAGGAAATGTCTTTTAAAAAAAAGATAATATCTAATGTAGTCCAGGCTGCAGCTGCCAACTCATTCCATAGATGAGTGTGACCTTGAACTTCTGATGTTCCTGCCTCCACCTCTGGAGGTGGGGGGACAGAGTTAGATGGGGATGGGACCCAGTGCCTCTGTATGCTGGGTGGGCACTCCCTGCGCCTTCTACTGGTTGATTGGAGACTTTACCCATGAACAGTCACCATTTCAGAAAAATGTCACAGCAACATCAATGTCAGTCTGGGTATTATCCTCCAGTACAACATGCCTCCATGGGTAGATGTCATATTGGTGACAGCTGTGTTCACGTGTGTGATCTGTACACAGATTATACCCAGATCCCCTTTCATGTTGTCAAATATAAGAAAGCAAGCTGACAGTGTGGCGTTGAATGTTTTATTCCTTTTAAGTACAAACATTCACCTGTAAAGTAGAACTAGACAGCCCATCTTCTACTATCATTCTTGGCACATAATACTGAGTGAAATACCTATTATTTTCTTAGAAATTATTTTTATATTTTGTATATATTAGACACTAAAAAAAAATGATCTGCACAGGCAAGTTCTGTTACTTGCAGATTTCATTTCTGGAGAGAAACTACATTCTCTTTATTTTTTATTGATTGATTGATTAGCTCATTCACTCACTCATTTACTACATGCATCTCTGCATGCTCCTGTGCATGTGCTGCGGCCGGCAGAAAATGCTAGGCGCCTGGCTGTGGCACTCTCCACGTCACTCACATGAATCATTCACAGTGTCTCACAGAACCTGAGCTCATTGTTTTTAGCTGGACTGCCAGGCCAGCAAGCCCCATCTATCTCTGCTCCCCACTCCCCGAGCCGTTATAGGCAGCCGGGCAATGCACAGCTCCTACGACGTAATGCTCAGGTGATCTTGTTTGTTCAGCAAGTGCTCTCATCCACTGACCCGTCTGTGCAGCCAGAAATGCATTCTAACATAATCCGTTAGAGAAGCTGCTGCCACTAGTGCTACGACTTTTACTTTGGAGGCCAGCCTGGCTCTCCTTTCATTCCGTTTCCCTTCTATTTCCATAAGTATGGAGATACTTGGAGAACTACAAAGCTAATTAGCACCAGCCATCTCTCCACCTGCACCCTTGGTATCTTATCACACCAGTGACTGCAAACCCTGTTTGGAGCAGGAGGCTAGGACCTGCACAAGCTGCTGGGAAAGCCTCCAGGAAATTACCAAGCCTTGAAGTCCTGAGGCTGCGGCCTTTCTCAGTTTACTATGCATGCTCCCTCTCCGGTCAGAGCCCTCATCATCTCTGGCTCCATGGTCAGTGCTGGAGACTTTGCAGGCCCACAGAGCTGGAGAAACAAACCTTTATCTATTAATTTTTTAAAAAGTCTCTGTATAAAATATTTTGATTCAATACCAATCCACAAAGTTGCAGGGCCAGGCTAATCAATCACTAACACATATATTATTCATCAGACTTGATATAGATCATGAGGATTCCAAGGACCTTGGGGTCTGCACAACCAGAAAATAGCAAAGCTAAGTTCAAGTCTGGCTCTTTCGGCAGCTGAATAGCTCTATGTGGATGTGTTTGTTTTGTTATTCCGTGTGAGTGTGTGTGGAGGCCCAAAGGTTTTTAATTCTTCCTTCCTTCCTTCCTTCCTTCCTTCCTTCCTTCCTTCCTTCCTTCCTTCCTTCCTTCCTTCCTCCCTCCCTCCCTCCCTCCCTCCCTCCCTCCCTCCCTCCCTTTCTCTCTCTTTCTTTCTTTTTTCTTTAACCCAGGGTTTCTCACTGACTATATGACTCTATAAATCAGCCTAGACTGGTTTGCCAGAGTCTCTGGAACTTGTCTCTGCCTCTCCAGCACCGGGATTACATGGGCTCACTGACACACCCAGTGTTTTACCTGGGTTCTGAGGACTTAACTCAAGTTCCTCAAGCCTTTTACATCATCTGAGCTGTTTTCCAAGTTTCAATTCAGTATCTTTAAGCAAAAGAGAAGGCACCTTAGAGAACACCACCAAATTCTTAAGAAACAAAAATCACTCTTAAAATGTATACAACACACACACACACACACACACACACACACAGAGAGAGAGAGAGAGAGAGAGAGAGAGAGAGAGAGAGAGAGAGAGAGAGAGAGAGAGAGAGAGACACAGA